GAGGGCATGAAAAGGACATTGAATGGGGATGGTAGACAATCCAAGTCCGAAGGAAAGAGCTTCAAAGCTCGCATATCAAATGATCCGAACTATTGAAATTTGATCCAACAATTTTTGAAATCCGGGTTCTTGAAAGTTATAATAATTTTTTTACCGTTTAATCAAATTTCAAGGGTTTAGATAAATTGATTCGCAAGTTTTGGAGGAAAATATCCGGAGATAATCTCTTTCCCAGAAGAGACAAACAGACGAGACTCTAAAATCTAATCCATGTTGATTTCGGGTGGTGTTTTAACCGTTTGATTTTTTTGTAATTTTAAATAAAAAGCTAAAGATTCTCCGGAACACTTTCTGTGAATTCTAAAACATTCCTTTCTTTGCCCACATTTCTTTCCGGTGAATTCTAGAACAAACTGGATCGGGCAGGAACACAAGCAAAACTCACGGAATCTACACACAAGTAACGCATCAATCAAACAAACATCTCACCACAGCCCAACCTAACCTATTATCCTCTCTCTCTCCTTCTTCTCTCCTCTCTCTCTCTCTGTAGAACTCACAACTTCTCTAGCAGGAGATCCAATCCATCCCACCTTCCTCCAACCCCTAATTATTTCTCTATAACTCTGTTTTATCTAACTGACCTGTGTTGATCAAAAACATTCGTTCTTAAACTTTAAGTTTCGAGTTTGATTATCGCTTGTATAAGAAAAACTCGAAACAACAGAAATATAATCTTCTAACTAGCACCTAACTCAAATTCTGTATCTTTGAATTCCCTACTCACTCAGAAGGACAAAATCCTCGATTTTCACGGCATAAGTTTCAACCTTAAAACTCTCAACCGCGTCGTAAGGACAAAATCCTCAATTTTCACGGCACAAGTTTCAACCAAAAATTCCCACATAAAAACATCACAACGGTCCTACATCGTTGACCTACCCTCCCAACCCTCCATAAATAAGAACCTCATTCTTCTGTTTAATTCCACCAAAACCCACCATTTAATTCCACCAAAAAACATACAAACTTTCTCTCTCTAAATATATAGTCTTTCTCTCTCTAAAAATCAAGAACAAGCTGAAAGAAGAAGAACATGCCATGTCCATCAAACAGCATCAGCTACAATGGCAGCCAGTGCGCCTGCGCAGTTGGGTACATTCTAAACCAAACCGCCGCCAGCTGCGTCCTGTTTGCCGCCAATTCCACCATCTCCACCGATGGCGGCATCAACAGCTACGCCTTAAACTTCCCGGAGACCTTCTTCTCCTTTGACTCCATCAGAAAGTTCACGCAATCGCAAGCCGTCTTCTTGGAGGCCACGCTTGTGTTGCTGCTTTCTTGGTTTTGCTGTTGCCTCTTCCTCAGGTTTATGAAGCTCGGCAACGACGGCCGGAGCATTTGGTTCCGTCTCCGGTGGTGGATTAGCCGATTGGATGTTTGCTTTGCCACTAGGCATTGGCTGGTAATTAGTGTTCTTTTTCTTCAATTAAACATCTTTTATTAGCTTAATCATCTTTTATTTATTATTGTTATTGAATCTTTGATGCAAAATATGCAGCCATTAAGGCGGATGTGTGTTAGGCTAGTTGATCAGGGTGGTGTGTCTGCCCCTTTGCATCATTAAGGCGGATGTGTGTTCTTGGTCCTTGAATCTATATAGTAGAAGTAAGAACATTTCTAGGCGAAGAAACGAGATTAAGGCATCATTTACATTTGTTATTTAGAGAGCTGATCTGTTGTGGATTGTTTACGTGGCTACCTGTTGAAGGCACTTTCTGTAACATCCCAAGTCGCCTAAGAGAGTGATCCTTAAATGTATATTCTCATCCCTACCTAGCATGAGGCTTTTTGGGAGCTCATTGGTTTCGGGTTCCGTAGGAACTCCGAAGTTAAGCGAGAAGGAGGTCAGGGCACTCCAAGGATGGGTGACCCACTGGAAGTTGCTCGTGAGTTTACAAAAACAAAACCGTGAGGGAATGGTAAGCCTAAAGTGGACAATATCGTGCTATGGTGGTGGAGCGGGCCCGGGATGTGGTGGAACCCGGGCCGGGATGTGACACTTTCAGCATTTAATTTTATTAGATTATGACAGCTTTATAGATAGATTTGTTTTCCATCCGATGGCGAGTTATGCAAATGGATGTTAACTAACTTCATTTGTGGCACAGGATGATCAAAAGGTAGTTAAGAAACGAAAAACGGAACTTGGTGGAATGTTCTCAATGGCAAGTTGGATTCTCTTCGTTGGCTTGTTTGCTGCGTGAGTATTTTGATATAATTCTTTCAAACTGTCACGTCTTTCATGCTGTTTTTATTAGCTGTGCAGGTTTTTTATGGTTTCTATGTATTAGCTTATATTTACTTGGATTTTCAGTTTCTTCACAGGTTGCTCTACCAAACCATATCAAATAGAAGTATCGAGGTGCATAATGTCAGAGCAACAAATGCACCTGACTTGGCTGCCTTCAAGAATGACATGGAATTTAACGTAACCGCGGTTTCTAGTATGAGCTGTTCAAACTTACGTGATCTTGGTACTTTAGTTACTGGAAATCCTGGCTTCATTGACTACAGAGTCACTCCTCTGTCAAAATTCGGGAACTACTCGTGTCGGAATACGAGTATAGGACCAACTATAACTCTTAGGTGCAGCAATTGTCAACCACTTGAAGACAATTTGTACATTTCATGGCAGTTCGTCGATCTTCCTAATAATCCTGCTGCTGCTGTTGGATTTCAGTTCAATCTCAGTACAAGGAGTCATGCTAGTAAAAAATATGTCAGTTTTGTTAGCGGAACCCTAAAGAATGGAAGCAGTTTTGATGATACACCAGTTACATTCAGAGGAAATACTACAAATATATTAAAATTTAGTTTGTTTCCCCAGATATACCATAATCATCATGATCTAAGGCTCATCCAACCTCTGTTTCATGAGTTTGTTCCGGGTTCATTTTTCAGTGATGAAAGTCAGCTCCGATCGTCCCTTGAAAATTCTAAGGATGGAATGCTCAACACTACATTATATATCAACTTTCTCTCTGCCTATATCGTGGAGATAGATAACCAAAACGTTGCGGGTCCTGGTGAGTATTCTGCACCAATTAAAACGACATCAAAGATGAATGATTTTCTCTTTACGACATCTTGGTTGAAGTTTTGATGATCTAATATTTTTGCCCACCTTGACATGTAGTGAGCTTCCTTGCGGATCTTGGTGGCCTGTATTGCATCTGTATTGGCATTTTTTTCTACCTTTTGGTGCAAGTACGTTACTTGATCTTATAGCTTTGTTTTTTTTTCTTCGTCACTGTGTGTATGTTTGATTATAAAGTTTGTGAAGAAGGAAAGCCTAATACAAAAATCGGGCTGAAAAAACTATGTTCACGTTTTCATAATTTTGTTGTTTACTTTTGCAGTTTGAGTTCAGGATAAAAAAACTCCGGAATGAAGATATCGTGTTGCGGAGGATCAGAAATCGGCGAAAAGCTCAAGACCGCTGGGATAAAGTAATTTCTTTCATATTTTTCCATTTTATTTAACTTCATATTGATCTGACTTCATATAATAATACTCATTGAAACATATGCTTTGAACTAGTTAAGGAAATATGTGATGTATACATGGGGCTGCAAGGCATTGGAGGATTATTACGAGAGCATAGACGAGGGATCAGGTTGTGTGAATTGTGGTACACAATCAGTTCATCGAAATGGATCATCACATAAGCGAAGGCAACAAGAAACAGTGATTAGTTTTAACAGGAAGCTCAGCTTGCCTAAGAAGGTAATGTTTTATGTTTCTGTCTTTGTTTAGATCCATGGGAACCTGGTTTCCAGGTTCTGATTCATAACGTTTTAGTACTTTCTTCTCCAAGAAAGTTACTTTTATATTTTTAACATTTCATTGATCTCGCAGACTCTGGTTCAAGAGTGCTCTGACACTGTTGGGAGTGTGAAGTCATTTACACTGGGAACTACACCGAACCCGGAAGAAAGTTCATCGCATTCAGCAGTCAGACCTGTGAGTCACTCTTCTTGTTTCTTTGTCAGAAACCATGGATATAATTGGTCTAGTTTCTCTTTAATGTGAATCTGTCCACCCTTTTATCACTTTCACTAACAGCTTAAACCCGAATTTTGGGAATTCAAATCACTATTTGAGAATTCCGACTACAGTTTTTCGAAATAATGTATTTCTTACAATTAGGTCACTCATCAGTGAACGACATTTTAAATGTGTGTATCTCTTTGAACCGTTTGTCTTCCAGCCTCTGCAAATGGAATCGCTTGGCTCTACAAAGGACGGAAAACAGCAATTTGTTCATGCGTCTAAAGAAGATTCCTGTCCACCTAAAGCCTTAACTCCTACAATTGGTGATATCATTCCTCCACCTCCTTCACTAGGTAAGAACTAAACTCATGAAGTATAGCTATATGGGCCACCATCTTGGTTTGTTCGGTTCAAGGTCGGAGTTTTTGCATTTTAAGTTTGTATCTCTGGTGAAATGATTGGATGAAGGACAAACTTTGGTGGTTCCCATGGTGTATATTGAGATGAAGTGTAAACTTCAGATACAAGCAGTCATTGAGTTTCGATTTCAAACCAGGATTGCTGGCGACTTGAATGAAACTTATCAAATAGAAACAGATTTGAACTAGACTTGCTGATTCCGTGCTTACCTTAAATTGTTATTTCACTGCAGAATTGAAGGATGCTTCTGAAATGGATATGTCTGATGTTCAAAAGAATCTTAGAAGTTTGCACGAGTACAACGTTTTGTTGAGGGAAAAGTTAGTAGCTACGCAGTCTTTGTTCCGTTCTTTAGCTACAAAATCAACAGAAAGCCAAACGTAGCATTGCGTAGCATCTCAACTACACATCTCCCTACTACTACATTTTTTCGGTACGATGTTTCATTAGGGCAATATCCGTGGATATAATTTAATTGATTTATTAGTTACTAGTGTAAAATAATTGCTTGTGGAATCTAAACAGTTACAGCATGTTAATGCAAAGTGATTAGCTTATTACAAACTTTAAGCCGGAAGCTGCTCAAGTAAGATGAACTCGGCGACCAGTTACTGTGCTAGCTACTTATTTCTTCTTTTTCTTGATCCTCCTCTTCTTACTGCCCAACCTTGTCTTGTCTTGCTGGATTTTCGCTGTGTAGCACACGGGACTGTTGTCTTCGTCTTCCTTTCGTATTGCTCTATGTATTCATTGTAATCAGGATTGTAAGCAGCAGCCATCCGCAGATACTTCAAGGCTTCAGCCTTGCGATCCACTTTGGCTAAAGCGCTGAAAAGGAGAAGCCAAGTCATTAATAACGTGCAAGAGTGGTGATTTTCGCACCCCCGTTTTCTTCAAAGGCTAAAAAAAGGGAAGGCCTTGCAAAATCACTTTCCGTAACGTGCAAGTTTTCTTCACAATTTTACTGATCTGATGAATACCTTGAAAGCAATAGCAGAGCGTCATAGTAATGAGCTTTGCCTCTTGGTTCATCTGGCACTTCCATTTTTGCAACTCCTTCAAGGTGTACAATCCCTTCCGCAGTTTTTCCCTGCCCAGTCATATAAATCGAACTTATCGGTCGCAAATGTTTTTTTTTTTCTTTTTTTGATACAATTATATTGAGGGAGGGGGAATCGATCTCGAGACCTCACCTGCCGTATGTAGGCTACTCCGGTCCACTGAGATGCAATAATTAGAAGATCAACGTCCTCGGCTCCCGTCGGCCGGCCAGCGCTGAAGAGCTGATGAGAAGTTAAGAGAGTGATTAGGAATGAATAAACCCTACAGCATGTCAATCAAATATCGACGATATATCAATCAAATATGTTTCCCGACCTTGGTGAGGGCACGCTCGAAGTATTCAGTAGCCTCTGCATTCAAAGTTTTCTTCAACAAAGTCTGACCCGTTATAATCAATGCTTTTACATTTTCAGGATCCTTCTCAAGGGCAAGTCTGTTTTTTCAAGAAAATAAACAGACGATTAATGTTATGATCAAGTATGCAAATTTTGTGATTAATTTGAACAGAACAACTTACTTTTGCATATGAAATGCTCTATCTGTATCTCCCCGTGATAAGACTAGGACTGAAAGCTGTGTCGATGAATCCCGAGTACGTTGTTGTGGCCAGATCGGTGTTCCGTCGGTTAGAAAATCTTCGAAATGTATGAAAACTGAGAACGAAAACTGATACAAAGTTTGCAGTTGATAACACTGTTAACACACTCACATTAAGCAGCTCAATAGGGGACAGGTTGCATAAATTTGTTGTCTTCGTTCTTGTAGGAGAAGCCAAGGGCGAAATTTCGCGAGTACTCAAATCCTCAGAGTTTGCAGCGCCTGTAGGAGCATCTATGCCTGGAAACCGCAACTTTGCCCGCACAGCAGGGTCATCGAGAGTTAATTTCTGAAAAAATAAACGAACTAGTTATCAAACGTCCCCATATTAGAAAACGAAAAGAAAAAAAAACAGCGACTTTTACCTGGATGATGTTTAGTAAGCTACTCGTACCCCAAAAGATGAGGCTTCCCTGCAAAACAAAGTGTGTGCATGAAATTTCACATATGGTTCAATATTATGAAGACTAATTTCACATATGGTTCAATTAAATCACCTGAGGCATAGTGCAGCTAAAACATAATATAGGCACGGTCAAGAAAACCAAGTAATCTTTGTAGTACTGCAGTAAGATAGAGAACTCCAATCAGTTGCAGTTCATTAGAAAAATCGATGTTTTTGACCGCTGAACTGCAGTAAGATATAAACCACCCAGATGTAACCTTTTTTTTTTTATGGCTGTTATGTCTACTTACTTTTCCCATTAAACCATACATGTCCGTCCTTTCTCCAACCGTCTGGAAAGAAATCTAACAAGTCATGAGATCAATGTCAGCTTCACTCTTAAGATTGAGAGGTACGTATAACTCGTAAGAATAATTAGCCACAAGCGTCTTTCGTTTGATAAGAATCGGTAAAAGTACCTCAACGGAAGCAAAGTGCAAACCAGCAATCATGAAAGGAAGGACGAGGCCTAAAACATTATGTGGACTTTCGGTCAAGTTTTGGAACCATAAAGTGCCTCCCTGAAATGAATCCACGCAATCACATGTTCATCTGCTTTCAACGTTAAGGAAAAATTGCATCATAAAATCGATGATTTAGATAAGTATGTCGCTGCCTTACGCTATCAAACCCAGGATGATTATCAAGTGACATGTTCCTAGTAGTATTGAGCCACAGGATAAAGCAGGGCGCCTGCAGATGAGTGGAAGAGAGGGAAACGTCATTAGTTGCGAATACTTGTTTAACTAACATTAGTTAACTTCTGCAACAACACAATACCCTTTGTCTTAGAAAGACCAACACAGCTTTGTCTTAACCACACAGAAAACTTCACATTCCTACCTTCACAGTCAAGGTTTCTAAGTCTTTGGAAACTTGAAATTGATCTACTTCTCACGTTATCCTTCCTTTCTTATCACTTGATTTTTAACTGCCAATCTCATATTCTAAGAAAAAGAGAATGGTACTACGCGGCGTGCTTTCAAGGGATCACATGTTAGTGTATCATCATTTCTGCTCCTACATTAAGTGCAAAAAGGAAAATAGTACTACGCTGCGTGCTTTGTAAAAGTATGAGATAAAAGAAGGTTACATGGACAATGGGGTATGCAAGGATCCATAGAAATGAGGGACATCCTACTGCCTTGCTTTTCTTGTAAAATCGAGACATTTGACCCATATAACTCTTTCCAGAGAAGGGTGGTGGCAGGGGAGGAGGCACTACAACAAAAACACGTAACGAGACAGATATTGTTTCGGGTTAAACCAAACTTCAGCATTCGATCTGCAAAAGATAACTGCAAGAGTAAAGCTGCCAAAGAAACGAATGAATTGATCAAGTCAAAGTTTAAAACTTACATTTGGGAAGTAACTGTGCAATCCTTGTCAACTTGTTAATTTGCAGCATACGAATGGGGAGCAATGTAATTCTCATAGCCAAAGTTGAAGAAGCAATTACTACCCACCTATACATATACATAATTCAAAGTAACCAAAATTTACAGATAAAATTTACTGTCATTTACAAATCCTATATATCGTCCTAAGTTACATTACTTAAAATTTACTTCTTTTTCTCCTCGGGATTCCAATATTACAAATTCCGGATTCGTAGAACGAGTAGTTAAGAGCATTTATACTGTACATAACGTGTATAATGAAACAAATAAGCATAAAACTGAAGAGAATTGAAGATTCACCACATGAACATTGGAATCCCAACACTACAAATTTTGGACTTGTAGCTTGAGTAGTTAAGAATATTAATACCGCATGTAATGTGTGTAACCAAACAAGTAAGCATAAAGTTTAAGTGAAGTGAAGATTCACCATGGTCATTGGAATTCCAACTTTACAAAAATTCGGGCTGGTAGCTGGAGTAGTTAAGAGCAGTTATACCGCACGTAACGTGTATAACCAAACACGCAAGCATAAATTTGAAGTGAAACGAATATTCACCATGGTAAGCCAGTGAGCTGATGGAACCAGTCGAGCATCGAAATCAGCTCGTCAATTGGAAGCAGCGACTTTTCGGCACCAGAATTCAAAACCCCTGTGGACTGAGTTGCCGCCGATTCAGCTGAGACCACGCCGAGACCGAGTAGATCGAGACAGGGAGTGTGAGAGGAGAAAGTGCGAGTTGGGGCAAACGGGAGAGGGAGACGGAGGTGGGACTGACTCGCGTGAGGCTGAGCCGCAGAGAGAGTGGAGACCATCAGCTGGAAGTTGAAGACGGCAGAGGCGCGAGAGCGACGGAGGAGGTGGTGCGCCAACGCCATCGAATCGTCTCCCTCACTAGCTTCGCTTTGACTGTAAATTGTACTCTCCGACTGTTATGCACGTATATATATATTTGGCATGCATATGCAAGTACAGATAGACTGTAAAAGCATGATCATGCAGAAAATGGTAAGTTGAGTTAAAGGTAAACTCTGGTTAATTTGTTGGGCCAACGAAAAAAAGGGCATGTACATTTAAAAAAACTTTTCTTTTCGATACAATGATATTTAGTGACCAAAATGCCTTCTGAACTGTCTTTAGACTAAACTCAACTCTGAGCTAAATGCTATTTTTTAGGTTTTATTCCCTCCCAACCCAACTCAACTTATGCTAAATGTGTAGGTTAAAAGCTAAAAGCCAAACAAAAGTCAAATTCCCCCTAGGATTTAGCCCAGAAAATTGTGTGGGCACCACCAGCGGGACCCCGTACACATGCGCATGTCTTCTAGGATTTATTGAATCCAACGACTTAAATCAAATATAATCAAATATATCGGTAAAAAAAATCTAACGGCCCAAATTTAAATCCAACGGCTAAAATAATTAAAAAAATTATTTAACTCAATACATCCAAATTTAGTGATTTTTCAATATTTATCGGAATTTAAATATTTTTAGGTAAAAATGTTCATCAAATTAGATTATAATAATGTTTTAAAAAAAATTAGCCTAAATTTATTCTTTAATAATACTTAAAAAATTTAGACCAGAAGGTTGAAATATAAAGTTCTTTCTGGCCTAAAACCTAAATTTTCTGGGCTAAAAATTTTAGGTTTTATCACAAAGGGTTGGAGATGGTCTCATGAACCGCCTTCAAAAGAAATTCGCAGATACGTTGTTATAGGCTTATAGCTCACACAATCGAGCATGGAACAGGATTCCGGCGGGCCAAAATGCCTCTTGAATGTCCATGATCATGTTCGGTAAGCTTATGGTGCGGCTAAATGACACGAAAATAAGTTACGGAATAGGTTTTGTAAATCTTCCCAAAACTGGTTATAAATTGCAAGTTAGCTTGCAGTTTTATTGAAACACAAAAATTTTGAGTTTTGGGATGATCCTGTGCTCGAGAAGTTGGGAAATATCAAGCCAACAAATACAAAAGGGCACGAAATAGAATCAAGGTGGACAGCAAAATCTTTGAGTGGCGATTTATTCTTTCTTGCACCACCCATACCATACAGATGCCTCCCGTAATTAACACAACCTATCTTCGACAATGGCAGATGCTTAAGAATCTGCTCCTTGTGTAGGCTGGCTGCGCGGAAAATAGTTGTCCATCCATATAGAACTGAGCAGCCGCCAGCATTCTGCCCCGAAAAGGTTTCCCTCCTTTTGCATGCATCTCCTCACATGCCATCAGAACTCTCAATGCATGCCCATAAACCATTCACTTGACTGAAGACCCAAGATGCCCCGGAGCTTAGTTGTGCTGGGTGCAAGATAAATGAAACAGCAAACCGGTGTACTTTTCTAAACACTTCAACCGTTACTCTCCGTGCTGTCATGCTTTACCTCGCTGCATTTCGAGAGAGAACCATTCTTCCCTGAACGCATTCCCAAGGCATTAGCAAACATCCTCTTTGCTGCTCCCACCTGCTCCCTTTTGATGCATTCCTCATCTACACCATGTCCGTTTTTTCCATAATGGTCACCTTGTTTCTGGGATGTCTTCTTTTCACTTCGGGTGAGAGGTGAGCCACTATTACCACGGTGGTTGTTTTTCACTTCACCACGCGAGTTCATATCTCCGTTCGAAAGGGAGATGGTATGTTGAAAAGATTCTGCAGTCAAATTAGCCTCATCGGCAACCTTGCCTTGAACATTTAATTCATCGGTCTGCCCTCCAGAAGCTTTGCAATCCTCATGAGGGGAACCCTGACTGGAAGGATTGATTCTCTGGCCTAGGGCATGTGCTATCATCCGTCGGGCAACAACAGGGTCACTACGTGGCTTCTGCCTGACAGATTCTTTCACCTCACCCAAGTCGCTAGAAAATATTCGCTCGCGAGCAGCCAAATAAGCTGCTTCTCTCTCCTCAAGTGAATGGTGAAGCAGAGGTGGTTTTTTCCTCAACACAAGAAACAACAAAAAGGTTTCATTTAGCATGGATAGAAGGACGGTAGGGAGCTAAGATGAAGACTTCTATAGCCTATATCAAAGCACATAGGATTGATTGACCTAATCTAAATAGGAAACTAGATATCTAACCACAGGTAGCATATCATGAGACTGCACAATTATAAATTGGACTTTAAAATTAATACGAAACACAAAAACTAGCAGTAGATACAAGTACTCATTGCAGATGAAAGCATTTGAATTGCAAGTTTATATTACACAAGATACAGCAAGGATGGAAAATAAGGGAAATTCAGTACCTGGGCGGCTTTCTGTCCTCTTTAATAATAGGTGTGAAGTCGTTGGAGAATCAGGCTCATCATACTGCCACAAAATATCACCAACAAGGATGGAAGGTCTGCAACCCAAACGCACTGATTAACAGAACAAAAACAGGGACGCTTGACTAAGAATTAATTCCATTAATCTTAAACCACTAATGTTGCCCAAATCACCCTTAGTTTGTTGACTTCAAATTCCGAAGGAAAAACAAGATTTCCGTAGCTTAGTTCAGTATGAAGAAATCTGATACCTATTCTACATGCGTTGTATTCTAGTCAGACGAGTTTCTATAATGGCATATATCAAAAAGTGACATTACATCGAAAGTCCAGCTCTTGTACCCTAACCCTTTAACCGGTCCAGTAGTAGTTTTAATGCTACAGTTTTCAAAATTACTTTCAACCGTCCCCACTCATGCCAATCTACCATCTACAATTCATTCTCTACCTTTCCTGCCATACCCTTTATCAACTAGACAATCTTCACATTCTACCATTCATGAAAACATTTAGGAGTCTGGTAAGTACAGATTGTAAGACAAGATACCAGTCTTACTTTAACTAATGTCTTTCCGTCCCAAAATGCAACATTTCCAACAAAGCCTCGATATTAAAATAGAAAACTGGAGCAGCAAGTGAAGGAAAACTTTGATGTCAAGATATTTCTGTTATGTTTGTTAGAATCTTCACATACATTGATGTCTCTGGGCATCGCTCCAAAATTAAGTGGCGTTCATCTCCTTCACCAACAGATTCATGGGAAAACCTATCAAAAAGCAATATATGATTACTAACAACAGGAGTCAAGAACATATGACTTAAAACATTCTTCAACAAAAACATTATTTTCCCAACAATGAGGGGAAAAAATATGACACAAAACATAGGATCGAGAAAAGGAGAATACCCAAATATATCTGCCAGACGATGCAAGAGAAGACGGTTGTATGAGCTCATTGGTTCCAACTCCAAGACCCCACTGGAACTGCAACCCAAATATTTTTTATTGTTTACATTAGTATTCGAAGCACAAGCAATGATTACAAAAGACCTTAATAAGATTTAGTTTCACACAAATCTTAAGCTCTACATCAAAACAACAAGAATCTACTCCGAGCTGTAGAATAAGATAAAACACGAAAACATCAGTAACACGCGCAAGCAGATGCTACGGAACACCAATTGAAACTAATGATTTCTCCAGTTTTACCCTAGACATACCACAAAGAATTGCATCACTCCTGCTTGATATAATCTTAAGATTTTACTGTAAAACTAATCTCATAAGAACAGGCAATGCTAATAACATTTAGGGGTTTGTCTTACATGCCTGGTATCACTCTGAAGGAAGTCCACCAAGGCCTCTTCCACTGAGAGAATAAGATGCTTGCAAGTAAGATTGTCTTTGACAAGAGAAGCCAATTCCTCAACCTGCATTTCGGTAGCATTGTAGTATGAAATATCGATATTCAAACACGAACTCTGGCACTCGAAGCAAATCATATGTATACAAATTATTTATGTAACAGCTTTCTCAAAATTATATAAACTAAAATGTAGCTGTATCAATTCCTAGAAAGTCACTGCGCTCGGTTTTGCCTAAGTTTAAAAGCTTAAAGCAATTAAATTTTAGATAAACTGATAGATAAGTTTAACTTTGAAGCACTCAACTCCCAAAATTTCTAATTTTTAGTTCATAAACCAAGAAATAAAACACAAATTTTTAGAAAATCAGCACTTCCCAGAACACATAATTGGAGCATCATTAAAAATTATACAACTTTTTTCTAAATTCATAGTAAAATCGAGAAGAACAAACAACAAACAACATTAAAGCTAACGAAACACATACCATGGCGAACTGGGTCAAACTCATGTTGTCGAAAAATTGAATCAAATTCCAGGAATTTCCCAGTCAGAGACTCTGTAGAGAGAGAGAAAGAGTCTAGAGATAGAGATAGAGAGACAGAAAGAGAGAGAGGGAGACGGAAACTCTCTCCTCGTTGAGATTTGCTTCAGGGGTGGTGTGTGTTTGGTCGTGGGTTCGTTCCACCCTTGTCAATCTATCGTCGTACTTATGTTTGTCGGAGGAGGGCAGAACATTAAGCAATAGTCCTACCCATCTCAGGGTCGGCCAACGTGACCAATCAATGATAACCAGCCACCTACCTCTTGTCCTTTTTTGTAATTACAACTGGTAACCGGATCCCCCTCCCGAGCATAAGGTAGGGATTCCTGTTTGTAGTCATTGGATCAAATTTCAATGGTGATCCGGTCAGGAAAATCCTCACCCTATGCTCAGGAGGGGATCCGGTTCCTTACAACTGCTTCAATTGCGCCACTCCAAATTTCTTTTCTTTATTTCTCAAAATGAAGAAAAAATGTTGAACACGGGTAGCTAAAAATGCATACGTTCTTCACGCAGACGAAATTCAAACTCGGATACATAGGAAAGAACATTCGGTTTAGCAGCTAACATGGCTATGTTTATACGTTAATTGCAATGTTAACAACGAAGATTGATATCATCCATGGTTTGTTGGATTCAAAGTCCGAACACAAGGAATGGTTATAGCTTAGACACATGAAATTGTAGTTCAAATGGTTATAACTTATAAGCATTTTTCTAGCACCCGAAGTCGTGTTCGGTTTCTCCTTCCACAACGTCCATATATCTCCGTTCACCATAAGAACAAGAGAGA